AGTAAAAACTGTATCTTTCCAGTATTGGGTTCAATAACTGCCTTATTTGTTCTGTTAGGAAGTACCGAGTTGTATTTGTCCCTTTTCTCTCATTTCCCTTTTCATGGTCTGCTCCTCAACTTCCTTTTAAAATTTGGGGATGTTAATGAAACATTACTTTAGCTTTTCATATTTTAATTAGCTGCCCTGGTTGTAAAGGCTGCTATGGTTATGCCTTATAACAAATGTCCTCAAAATAAAAGGTATGAGAAAATCCCTGCACTGTATCATTGGTAATTTTGTGTGTGACCATATAATCTTTCAACTAGCAGACGAACCTTTTTGCTTTAGCCCAGTGACCTAGTATGCTGGATAAAGCAGTGCAATTCTATCGAAACCCCAGAAATGTTTGTTGTTTCAATTAAGATATTGGAAGTGGCTTTTTATTGCCTGGTTCGTGGGAGGAGCTTTTCATAGGGTTTTATTCTTTTTGATTTCCTACATTTCTCATCAATGTACTGCCATGTTCTGTAAGATCAATAAAATATGTGATATCTTTCTGCTCATTCCATCCATCCATATTCTGACACACTTTATTCCGAATGGGGTTGCGAGAGGTGCTGGTGCCTAACTCCAGCTGTCTACGGGCGAGGGGTGGGGTACACCCTGGGCAGGTCACCAGTCCATCGCAGGCAACACAAGATTACATGTTGCATAACAACTGCATCCAATACCAAAGGAGAAAAATATTTGAAAAAGAAACTTTGATTTACAAAAGGAGGAACTTAAGTTGTTTTAAAAAGAATATGTAGGAATAAAAATATCAGAGCTACTCCAACATGTAGATCAACAAAATCAAAATAGATTTTTTTAAATAAATACATTTCAGTTTTGATACATAAAAATAGGTTTGTCTAATAATAGTTTTAAACATTGCCTGTTTGCTTACCAGGGGCAGCAGTGAAGTAGTTAATAGCAGACTGGAACCCTAGCATCTTACAGATCACTCTTCCATCCAGAAGGTCAAACGAGTCATCGCAGATAGTACCCCAATCATTATTATGCATGACTTCCACTCTTCCTCTGTTTCTCCCAGGTACTAGACGCACATTCACTGTAGTGGGAGAAAGTTTTAAGAAAGATTTAGTCCTATGCATCTTATTAGCGCTACTAACAACTACCATGAAAACATATTAAAACTCTTCCCGGAATAATGGACAATATGTACCCACTATACCCTCCGTGTCACAGTAACTTTGCAGTTTTACCAATTTTCTCCAACTGTACGTCCCTCCATCCATCTCCTTCCGCTTATTTAGTGTCAGGTCACGGGTAGTAGCGGCGCTAGTAGGGAGGCCCACAATTCCCTTTCCCCAAACTTTTTGAGCCAGCTCCTCAGGGATCCCACTGTGTTCCCAGCTGAGAAACAATCCCTCCAGCATGTCCTGGGTCTTCCTCTGGGTCTCTTCCCGGTGGGAAATGCCAGCTCACCTGTCTCCTTTCAATTTGGCTGCATTTTGAGTCTTTGTACTATTGAGCTTCTCACTGTACTCATATAACTCATTTCGCCACTTGTATCTGGTGATCTTGCTCTGCGGGACATTACCTAAATTTCATGATTATCAATAGGGGAAGGAACGTAGGTCGTCCGATAAACTGAGAGCTTTACCTTTTGACTTTCGCTTTACCACAACAGACGGCTACAGTGCCTGCTTGACTGTAGATGGAGTACTAATCCGTCTGTCGATCTCCCACTCCGTCTTTACCTTATTCAACATTATATATATATATATATATATATATATATATATATATATATATATATATATATATATATAATATATTTTATATATACTGAATATATATTATTTTATTATATATATAAATATATATATATATATAAATTATTCCCAGCCGCTTCAAATTCAGCTGCAAACCCTTCCAGACAGAGCAATATATCACGGCCTAAAGAAGCCAACAGGACCATTTCATTGGCAAAGAACAGAGATAAGATCCTAGGGCCACCAAAACGGATCCCCTAAACACCTTGCAAGCTCTGCAAAATTCTGTCCATAAATGTTATGATCATAACCTTGGCAGAGGCGAATTTGCAAAGAGCAATGCTGACCAAGCTCTGACACCGCTCATACAGGAACCTAGTATTAAAGGGTCTGGGTCTCCATACTCCAGGAGCACCCCCCTGTATCAAGTGTATCCTCCAAGGGATACAGTTTAATGCCTTTAATGCCCATGCTACCAAAATAAACTAACTGTGATTTTTACTATGCCTTCATTTAGGTTACGTAGATCATGAACATTCCAATTAGTTCATATTGTTAAAAAAAAACTATAGAATATTCTTTAAGAACAATTATGCTATCTTTCCAATATATCCACATTATTACAATGCAGCCTTTATGGTCTTCTCTATGCTATGTGTGTTATTTACTTACACTGCATATTTGACTCGCCCTTTTGTCCTTTTAATCCTTGTGGTCCAGGTGGACCTGTGAGAGACAAAGAAAAACAAAGAAATAAGACAAACTTAATTACTTTTTAAGATAACAATCTAAAATATGCCTCGTGAATAAGAACATTTAGATTTGGCTAAACTAACATAAATTCAATTCAATTCAATTCATTTGTATAGCCCCAATTCACAACACAAGTCATCTCAAGGCATTTTACAGTTCAACCAGATCATACAGTCAAATTGATTAAACGTTTTCTAAGGAAAACCAGTTGATTGTATTGACTTGACAAATTCAAGTATAGGTCTTTGTTAAAATTATTGACAGTATGGGATAGATTTGCATCTGATTCAGTTTGATTCAGTTATAGGCCCTTGATTTGATTTATACACATACCTTGGGTTCCATTAGTTCCTGCTGGTCCTCTTGCACCTGTTTATGCAATGCATAACACAGACAATACATTAGAACAATGGTAATAAGACTGTTGAAACTGTTTAAGAAAACATGCAACCATTTTTTTGTCTGCCAGATATAAAATCAGACTCATGCTTCCTTGAGTTAGATACAGGGTAGACCCATTTTATATACAACAGAAAAACATACACGTTTTGCTTGTTTGGAGAGATAAGTTTGGCAGTGAAAACATGACTTCAAAGACATGAGCTGCATTACCACTCAAAACGTGCTAGCAGGTAACAAGTCCAAGAGAGAGGAAAAAAGAGAGAAACCTTTGAGAAAGAAGTCCATTGAAATAACCCTGAAAAATGCCTTTGCTGAGATTACCAAGGTGGTTGCCAAACCAAAAGGTTTCGTCTAAAATGGCAACCATAAAAAACAATCTGTTGGTGGACTGCAGGTATGAATGGCAGATGCAGAAGGGCAAAGCTTTTGACATAGAAGATAAGACAGAAATACCTTATTCACAAGTGATATTAAGAAAACTATATTGTGCATTTGTTACTTCAAGGCTGGACTATTATAATTCTTTAGTCTGTAGTCAAAAGCCTTCAGCTGATCCAGTCCCCTATGTCTTTTGCCACAAAAATTATAATTTTCTAAAGATGTTTGCCAGGAAATTGAAACTTTATTCTTAAGTTTCATAAAATATTTTCCTATTATTACTTTCTTTGGATAACACTGCTGTATTTGGAAGTACCCTCACCAGCCAATCATTCTAACTGGTTATGCCACTGATGCAGTTTCTCTGAAGTTTGTCAAGCTCTGTCAAGCTTCTCTGCATAAGGCTGCGCTGCAGGTGGAGACAAGAAAATGCAGAACCTGAATCTTCCCCTCCGTACACGGTCAGGCAGCAGCTCCTTCACTTTAACATGAAGGGTACAGCCGCTCTAACCTGAAGAAGCTGCCTCAAGCCACAGGAATAGCTTTAGATGGAACAGAACTTTAGTTCGCCCTCACCTGCAAAAGCCTGATATGTTGGTCATAGCTTAAGCGCTCTGATGGAGCAGAAAACCCAGCAGTTTCTGTCAAGGGTTTGTTCCCTATCTGTGGTAGATGAAGTTATAATTAAGACTGGATGAATGGGTATTGTGAGAAGTTTTGAATTTGACTGACCTGACTACATGGCGCATCCATAGATGCAACAATGCTGCTGTGGATGTCATAAATATACAATCCTACTGTACAGCCTTAACTGCTTAAGAAAGATTTTGACCAGAACAGTTTGTGGTCCAAATTGAATATGTCACAAATGTAAAAATCGAAAGTAAAAATGTATAAATGGGATCAAATGCCCCTAGAGCAGGTATGGAAAGCCAAATGTGCCGCATATTTCATAAATTAAAAACTATAAAGATTTCTATTTGTAAATGTAAAAATTTTAATGTTACTAGAGCTGCATGCATTAAAGAATAAATATTGTTTATTACCCTTATTAAATAAATAATTAAATATATTTTACTTATTTAATTACCTATTAAATATGTTAACCCTTAACCCCACAGTGCTCCCTGGGTGCTGCACAATGGCAGCTCAATACTCCCCAAAGGGATGGGTTAAATGCAGAGAGGGCATTTCGTTGCCTTGTACTTGTGACAGAAATGACAATAAAGTTGAATTCTATTTCTCTCAGGCTAAAGGACCTGATAAAGAAGGTTAGCTCAGTTTTGGGAACTCCCAAAGGAACCTCTGGGGATGATTATACAAAGATTTCTTCATAATGTAAGAATTCTTCAATGTAAGAATTCTTCCAAATGTACATTATGATGACCCTTAGCATCCTGTTTATCACCCTATCATAAAACAAATAGTCTGAAGCCTCATCAGAGGAACTAAGGTTGACTTCTACCCTAGATGGATTAATCAGGAAAGGTTTGGTTTGATTTACATTAATGTCAAACAGTGAAGAAATTATGAGTTTTTTAGAAATTGTGTTTATATATATTATATGCAACAATCTGTCCACCTGATGATTTTAATTCTAAATCATGTTAGATGAACAGGAAGTTTAAATAAATTATCACAGGAGGTACTCTTTGATCATATACTTTGGAATTGGAAGAAACTGCTGACCTGGGGGTCCCTGAGGACCAGTACTTCCAGAGTCTCCTTTTTGTCCTTTAAGACCAGGCAGTCCAGGACTTCCTGCAGAAAAAAAAAAGTATTAGCACCTTTTTAACACCGTACACCATGTTTAGGACATATTTTGTAATGATCTCAGATGCAGTATCATTCTATTTTAACTGGGTGGCATTGGTTATTGATCAGCATGCCTTTGGAAAAAACACCCCATTATCCAACGTTTTCTTCTGGTCCACATTTCTTGATCAACTGTGTTTTTCTGGGTGATAATTTGTTGGTTGATTTGATTTTGATATTTCAAAAGTTCACAACATTTACATATTCTCTTAGAAAGGCTTTGACTTGGATCCAGAAAACATCACTTCACTTGTGCTGTTTAATATGTGTCTCAACTGTGTTAATGAAAGATTTTTACATGACAGAGTTACATGCAATGAAGGATGCTGTCAACAAAAACATGTTTTCTTTCTACTGTACTGATGACTTATTGGTCCTGTGGTCAAGTGGTTCTCTCTCAGACATTAATTTGGGAGAGAACTACTGGACCCTTTTTGCTGATACTAAGTGTCAAAGCTCTCTTTCAAATGCTGACTCATTGTTTTGTTTTTTTCTGCTATGCTTATTTTGAAGATAAAGCCACTGAAATACACGCTTTGCGCAAGTATCAACCCCCTTGAACTTTTCTGCCTTTTGCTTCAAACATATACAATTTTAAAGTTTTTGTGAATTAAATGTATTGGATATATTAAACTTTAACAAATAAAAATCTGAAATACTAACTTTGCAAAATGACTCAGCCCTCTTGATTCAACACTTTGTATCACCAACTTTTGCTGCGATTACAGCGGCAAGTAACTTGGGGTGTGTCTCCATCAGTTCTGCCCATCGAGAGAGCGAAAATTTTGACCATTCATCCTTGCAAAACAGCTGGTGCTCAGTGAGGTTGGATGGAGAGCGTTTATGAACAGCAGTCAGAGGTGGGAGACGTGGAGTCAAGTCATCTCCATGTCATGTGTTTGTTCTGCTCAGCCACTGAACCATCCATCCATCCATTTTCTGACACGTTTAATCCCAAGCCGGGTCGTGAGGGGTGCTGGTGCCTATCTCCAGCTGTCTACGGGCGAGAGGCGGAGTACACCCTGGACAGGTCTAAGGAGAATTTAGAGAAGTCAATTAACCTAACAGTCATGTTTTCGGACTGTGGGAGGAAGCCAGAGTACCCGGAGGGAACCCATGCATTCCGGGGCTGGGAATCAAATTTAGAACCTTCTTGCTGCAAGGCCTCAATGCTACCCACTGTGCCACTGAGCAGCCCGCCGATGAACCAGGAGAGTCAAATCTTTACAATTCAATGTTCTTCTTTTATCTGTGGAATACTGCAAAAATTAGAAATATCCTGTCCAGGGTGATGCTAGGAAACTAGTCCATGCATTCGTTACATCAATGCTGGACTATTGTAAGTATTTACTATCAGGAAGCCAACAAATTGTATTTTAAAGCCTTCAGCTGATCCAACATGCTACAGCCAGAGTTCTGAAAATGAAAGAGAGATCATATTTCCCCTATCTAAGCTTCCCTTTATTGGCTTCCTGATAAATGCAGAACAGAATTTTAAATCCTCCTTCTAACATTAAGCTCTAAATAATCAAGCCTAATCTTATATCAGAGATCTTGAATAAAATCTCTTAGATTTTTTATCACTGCTGCTTACCTTTATCAAGGCTGCACTTTAAAAAAGGAAATACTCTAGAGAGCTATACTTAATGGAAATTTCTTTTTAAATAAAGTTATATTATGATTAGTTGCCTGGTGACTAGAGAGGTATGTGGAGGTAGAGTTTTAAACATTCCAGGCCAGTGGAGCAGAATTTCATTCCAGACAGATATTTCTCCTTCACGCTACCTTGGCCCTATTGTTGCTCTACTTATCTATACCTCATCCAAAAATAGTTAGGTTATCCTGAGCTATTTTCTATATATGTGCAGTGATGGCAAAACTACTCACTTTCCGTACTTGAGTAAAAGTACAGATACTGTTAAAAAATACTCTGGTAAAAGTGGAAGTACTGATTAAACTTCTTTACTCAAGTAAAAGTAA